ATATACATATATATGCATATGTATATACATAAATACACATGCGTGTGTTCATAGATACATGTACACATATCTTTATTGTGCATCCGAATGTATGTGTTTATAAGGTGTGCGTGTACACCACAGGTATACATACACACGTATATATGTGCGTGTGTGTGTAAATATATATATATATATACACATATGTATATATATATATCTGTGTGTGTGTGTGTGCGTGTGTGTGTGTGCATTGTTTCTTTATTGATTTTTTCTGCAATACGCACTATATCCCTCTAAGATATTCAACATTCTCACATACAGAGCAGAACTACTTTGCACCAGTGACCTGCGTGCAATCATAAACACGTTTGCAGCTTCGGTGCCAGCTGGCTGCGGCAGCCACTTGGGCTCGCTGGCAGCAGCCAAATGCTCTCATGAACGCATCATGACGGGTAGATCGGGCACGTAGTGACGTAATGGGGGATTGAAAGCTGGAATGTTAATCTTTTTCGGGGCAGCATCACCGACAGCTTGGCTTCACAAAGGAACCGTAGTGCAACGATAACTTCATTAGAAACTGGGGCTGCTTGAAGGATTGCGCTTCATTGGCTTCCACCTCGCAGCGGCACCGTGAGCCGAAGAGCGAGAGGGATTGCAAACCATGTCGCGACACTGCGGTCAACCATGGTGCTCCAAGACAAGCATAACGCCGCTGCTGAACATGCCTGCACTTGGAATAACTTGGCACAAACATGTGCACGAGCTTCGTCATGGAATGCAAAAGGAAAGATCAGGTTGCAGTTTGCTCGGCCGGCATCAGCTGTCAAATCCCACACAAGCAGAAAAGCACGACAACGCATTCTTCGTGTGTTCCGGCTGGATCACTGATGCCGAGTCATCTTGTGGTGCTTCAACTCAGCCTGACAGACAATGCAGGTTCGAGAAGATGCTGGGGCAAGGGCTGGTGCAGAAGAGCGCAACCGATCTTTGACATGAGCAATCGCCGCCGCAAAAAAAAAAAATTGCCGGCCTTCGGGATGCTGCCCAGGCGGCCTTCCAAAGTCCGCGTTGCCACGCAGCGCTCGACGTTTTTCTGCAATGCCGCCACAGCCTCCGCGAATCGGATGTGTCTGACGGGAGACTGTGAAAGCATAGCGCAAGTATGTTATAATGTACATGTCTATCTGTCTATCTATCTATCTTTCTATCTATCTCTCTTTGTCTATCTATCTATCTATATGCTGCTGTCGTGATTGCGCAGCTGGCTGCAGGGATGCACAAAACATGTCCCCATTCCTTTGTACTGGATGCCCGCATGTGTCAAATCAACACGTCAGCTAATGGCACTAGGACCAGGCATCTCTGCTAAATCTGAGCTGTGACTGTGTTCAAGCAGCTGGAGGCACGTGATTGTGCCTGCACGTCGCTGGCACTGCCAAACCAAACCTACCAAGACACATTCTCCAGTAGCTGCAGGTTCATGCACATTCATTCAGACCGAAGCTGGGCAATGCATGACGATGCTTCGGAGCCTCCAAACCGGATAACATGCTTTTCCCCATCAAATGTTCTCTAAACAGCTGATAGATTGACTTTCGCCCAACGATGGGCATTCCCGAACCTTCAACAACTTACAGCAATGAAAACCCGTTGCTAGCAGAATGGAAGGAACCATAGTTGTTCTTGTTCTAGCTGCTTATGTTGGATATGACATGCCGGTTGTATGTGTGCGTGTGTGTGCGTGTATAAAATATCTGCTGGATGCGCATCATAACTGCGTGTGTCTTGTATGTAGCTTGTAAACGAACAGGTCGAATGGAAACATGGCTGGGACCGGACACCTGGACGAAGTGCAATAAGCAAACTGCACGCATCAAGTCGTACTCATTATTCCGTTCGTTTTAAGCTTCGCGTTTTGTGCCGCACGTACTCCAGGCTGGAGCAAACAACAGGCCTCCATGCGCACCATGCTCGGCACACCCCCTTTGCCAGTAGTCACTTTGTCCTGCTTGCTGAGACAATCAAACATCAGCACACATGAGGGTACGGCAGCCCCGAAAATGAGAACTGCCGTTGCAACATGCACACACATGATCACACCTGCACACACGACTAATGCAGGGAAAGGCGATAGTAACCATCATGATAACCCCTGCAGCAGGTATTATGCCAACAGTAGGCACTGCAGCAGCTGCATGATAAGCAAATTGGCAGTTCATGTTGATGCATATGGCTCGAAATTTTACAGCCGCGAAAGCAAGCGGTAAACAGCCTTGAACCCGAAACCTCACGGTGCAAGACTCAGTCCACCAAGCGGAGACCCGTGATCATCTCCGCGGGCTCCAGTGTGTTTCCCAGTGTTCCCAGGACCAGGTTGTTCCAATACTCGTCCTAAGAGAACAGCAAACCCAAGATTAAAGACTTCAGACGATACGAGCATGATGCCCAACTTCCTGGAAAATACGTGAACATCAGCAGGACATGGGAAGGAATCCAACCCTGCGCCGTCGCGGAGGATCTGTGGCGCACTGGGGCGCCGACAAGCTGCGCAGCACCCAAAGACGCCTGGCTTGGCAGAAACCGAAATCGCCAAAACCTTCATGGAAAACCTTATGATCATGCAAGGACGGCCACTTGTGACTTCTTTGTTTGGACCCACTTTGGCACGCTTGTGGCTTGCCGTCGATCACTTTTGATCACTTTTGCGCCTTGTGGAAACCCGTTCTTGAACAAGCCTGGAAGACATGCAAAAACTTTGTCACTTTTCACTTGGTGTCAATTGCATGCAAGATTGAACAGTCGGTGGTGTCCTTCTTGTGGCGACAACTGCTAAGCACAAGGTTTGTTTTCGGAACTTGTTGCGGAGCTTGAGCGCGAGACGGCCATAACAACAGACACAGAAGCATCTGCGTACTTGAACGCATGGGGGAAACAACAAAACTTCCTCTTTGTGCCGAAATCTTCTCTGAGCGGCCCTGGCACCCTCGTACAGTCAACTGGGGGATGCAATTGTAGGGGGGTTGTTGGCCGTAAAGCTGCTGAAGCCACACAGCTTGGAAATTCACTTTCGGGAAGACATCAAGCAAGGTCCAACGTAGTCGTCATAGCACCGTACCAGATTTCCGATTCCCATGACCGAAAAACGATTTCGTCGCAGCCACGCTCTGCCGAGAGAACATGAGTCTAGTAAGGCACGCTACTGCAGACCGCCCCCAAACTGAAACTTCCTGCGACTCCAACAGGCTACGAGTTTAAGACCCTTGAAACGGCCTTGAAATGAAACTGCAGGTGCCCGCCCTCCGAGTTGGCGGCATCCTCTACTCAGACCCTCTCTCGCTCTAACTTCCGGGCTTCGTCTTCCATGATAGGACCTGTGCAGCTACAGGAGCTCTGCATATCGCCGAAACGTCTTTTAAGCTAGCTACGTGCGATCGAGTCTTGCTTGCTCCTCCCATTGTGGAAGAACTCCGTCTCGGAAGATCATCAAGGCGTCCACGACATGAGATCCATCCTCTGAGGCTCAAACGAGGTCAGCCAGAAACTCGAACCATGCCAAGTCAACCGATAGAATGCCTGGAAAGCCATTTCATCTCGCAACCGGCTCTTTACTCGCGGCAGCATGCATGCCTCCTGAGTTTTCTCCGCCATCCGCCTGCGCACGACATCACCCTTCCACAAGCTTCCGAACACCGTAAAAGCATTAACCCAAAGGGGTGACTCTGGGCCTGGCCTTGTTAGCAGATCACTCGGCTGCGGCAACCGGTCGAAAACAGGCCAGAAATCCTGCCAACATCCGCAAGAAAGGATTGAAGCATGCGTGGACGTGAGAGCCTTGACCAGTCCGGACGAAATCAAGTCACGGCACACAATGCCCTACGGCTTCAATTGCATCAGTATTGCATCTCTACAAAACCCAGGCGGCGAACTAACTGCAACTTCCAGGACGATGCCTCCACCGAATGCATGGACGCAATCCTGAGCGGCTGTGTTTATCCGAACCACGAGCCCATCGTCAACGTCCTCGCAACTATCCAAGAACGCACCTTCACCCCTTGGCTCCACTCCTGCACATCCCAAACTAATGCACACAGGTGTCTGCTTCGTGGACTGCTCGTAAGGCACGCTTTTCCCAGGGGAAGCTAGCTGCTGCCACACAATCCATGTGTGTCGCAGCGGCAATGCTTCCGGCACGCCTGGATCCTGCAGCGGTACATGTGTGCTGCGAATCTCGTACTTGGCATTTAACAAACGGATTCTTTCACTCTCTGTTGATTCAGTACGGAAAGAGGTTTCACAATCAAATTTTGCAGAAGCAACAATGTTGACATGCAGAGCAGAGCATGCTCCCATTCTGTGATTTATTTTTTTAAACAAACATGGCATTAATCCACTTTGTTAACTGACTGACTGACCGTAAATACGACGATTGTAAACAGCGTAGGCTTATTTTTCCAATTTGTTCATCCACTATTCAGTACGTACAACTTACGCATACGTCCAGCCTCTTCCTCTTCGAATTCGGCCGCATCGTCCGGGGCTGTTACAGACGAGCTGAAGCCTTGCCACGCGACAACAGGCAAAGCCCAAAATGTGCTTACAAAGTCGTCGCCAACCAGGGAACTCAAATGAACCATCCAGCGTCTTCGACGCCGGCCGTGCCAACCGGTTATTTACATGCAGTATGCTTTGCGGTTCACTATGCTGAACTCATCTCCTTAGTTGCCGTTTCTTTTCGCCACGTGTCGCTAAACAAAACAACTAACTATAGAACCCACTGTCATTGCTAAGTCCGAGCCCTCGCACTGTGCCGGAATGGTATATGCTGGGCCACGCACAAACCACGAACACAAGCACCAGGCGACCACAATGCCGAAAAATAAGGAAACGTTATTATTATTTATATTATCTTTTTCTCGAGTCTTGCAATAACTGCGGAAACGGGGATGGGACGTCGCTAGTCTTGCTGCCAGGCGTCGGGCAACACACCCTACCATCAGGACTGGGCTCCAGGACTCCAGGACGGCCAAATCAGGCAAGTGGCGGTTGCGCTTGATGTTTTAGTGATTTTAGTGCTTGTGTTCGTATTTCACGGTGCGTACTTGCTGGGCCGATCTTCAGCGGCGAAGTCTACCCAGTCATGCGGTTGCCGGCAACGCATTGCAGTCAAGGGCGTTGCAGGCGGAGCCGGCGGAGGAGCAACACGCGGAAGAACGGCGAGCTGAGGGACAGCTCAGGCGAGACCGGTTTGGTGGTGAGTGAATACGCTTGCTGCAAGAGAGCCAGACTGCGAATCCAACATAGCCAGGCCTCGGGCATGTAGCTCACGTCGGATGGCTCGGTGGCAGATCTCGTTAACTGTGCGTGAAGCTAAGCGCTGCCTTCCTCAGGCGCTGCAAGGGGGCCGCCGAAAGCACGGCATCCCACGTGGGGGCCTGGAAGCCTGCAGCCTGCATGCGGCTAGGGCGTGAGGCAACGGCCCGGGGCCGTCCAAAGAGCACGTTTATGCCTTGAGCGAAGGTTTGGTCTCGGCTCGCGAAGGCGGGGAGAGCATCGGCCCAAGATGCCCAGTAAGCCGCGACGGCATGGCGCTCGGTGCTGCGAAGTCGAAATCCGCACCGGGCCAACGTCCTCCGCATTGGATGGAACGCGTGAATGCGCGCGGCGGCCCCCACTTCCGCCCCTTCCTCGTCCGCGGGCGCGGCGCTCCCCCTCGACGACGCGCTCTGCCGCGGACCTGATGAAGTTGTCGCCAGGGTCTTCAGCACCCGCGTGCGAAGGAGGAGAGCTGGCAAGGCCAGGGCAAAGGTGAGGGGCAGGGGCGGGCACGTCGGGCGCCGGGCGGCGCATCACTCCGCTGGTGCACGGCTGCAGGCGCTGATGTGTCGGCCGATACGCCGGGGTGGAGGTGTGGGAGCGGACCTGGCGCATCGAATGACTGGGCACGCAGCGTTTCAATGAGGCGCGCGAGGGTGGCGACCTGGGCCTGCGCGAAGCCGCTGCCCGCAGTTTTTTCAGCACTAAGGTCGCTTGCCTCTTCCTGTGCAGACCGCTCTGCTGGAGGTGGCTTCTGTGCCCTCCTTGTGCCTGTTGCCATTTCTCCTTGTCCACGTGTGCACCCCCAGCATCGCTTGTGCCAGGCCCGAGCCTGCACTGAGCCCGGCTGCGGACGCAGGCCTGCGAGGTAGCCGCAAGAGGCTCGTCGCGCTGCCCGCCGCGCCTGCTGACTTCAGGCACGGTTCGAGTTCCTGCCGCTCGGGCCTTTCACAGGCAGCCCGGGTGGCTCTTTCTCAGTTCTCACGTTCACCCAAACCCGACCTGACCCGTGTGCTAATACAGCCGCGCGGAGTTTCGCCTTTTGCTGCAAAACTTGCTACTCCTGGCTTGCACTGGACGGCCGACGCCGCGCACCGTTTCCAATTTCAGAAACAAATACACACAACAAAAGAAATAAACAGTGACTCAGCACACCTTTTGCATCGAGTCTACACACGTCGCGGCCGGAAATTTCCATCGGCCTGAAGAAAGCACTATGTCCTGGGAGGGTGGGCGGGTTACTTGAACCGCACCAGACAGCGTTCATGCATTCGTCACTACTGTCAGGCACTCAGCACTCCTTTTGCATCTGGTGGAAATTTCCATCGGCCTGAAGAAAAGCACTATGTCCCGTACTTCCCACAGTTTCCAGGCGTGTGCAGATCATCCTCGGGCCACAGGCGGTACCAAATGTTCCGTTCGATGCCTTGGCATGTCCAGGCCCACGCTTGCTGGAGGATGCCACTGAAGGTTGCTGCAATCTGGGCAACCCGGTGCTTTTGCTCTCGTGGCAACGAGGGCAAATAGACCGTTGCCGAGACTTCTTGCAAGTAGATCTCCATGATTTTTGCTGAGGCCCATCTGCCTCGTCGTCTGACCAACTCTGAGTCCTCAGTCCGTTGGAGCAAAAAAGGCGCTCCTCCAGCTCTAAAGGACCCGAGGTGGATGGGCCTGGCACCTCGAGGTCCTGGCGCAGCTCCAACCCTGTGCCAGACCTGGTCGAGGCGTTTCCGCAGCGTCTGGGACGACATGGGCCAGAGCTTTTGGTCACCCCTGAGGCCACGAAAAGCCATGATTATAATCATCACGAGGTCCTGGGCCTCGATCTTTGCCGCTTGGTGACGCGGTCCCCGGTTCCGCGTCTTTAGTTGACGAATGCTCACCAGTATATAATGCTGTGAGTTCTGTCCTCCGGCAACACCAGTGAGCTCCTCGTGGCCGGAAGGACCTCTCCTATTCTCATGAGGCCTCCAAAAGCCAGAGCAAAGCATCCAGCCTCGGCGACCCATCCCCAGGAAAGACAGGCCGCCAAGATAGCGACCAGGACAACAGCTGGTACTGCTGTGTGATGCGTTGATGGTTCCTCTGACAACCAAGCAAAGCCTAAGTCCCAAGCAGCTTGTACTTGCCTGCGCAAGACAGGCCTCATGGCTGGTACGGCGTTCACCGTCTCCGCGTAGTGCCAGTAAGGCCTGCCAGAGCCGTAAAGGTCCTTCCCGTAGCAGACAAGCCAGTCTACGATCATCTCAGCATCGAAGGGCTTCGCCTCGATCAAGGCCCGTAGGTCGAAGCCACCAACTTCGACCAGCCATCGCGAAAAAGCTGCGGCTAAGTCAGCCCTGTTAGCTAAGTCAGGCCTGTTAGACCCTGTACGAGGCAACACAACCCTTCCACCCTGAAGGCCTGCCGGAGCAGATCGGCCTTGTTGCGAGGGGCGAGGACGGCCCAGGCAAATCCAAGGAAGAGGAAGGACAAAGTCCAGAAAAGGAAGAAAAGGGAAAGAAGGCCAGGGAAGCCGGGTGGAGTCAAAGTCCAAGGTGATACTACTACCCGGCCTGGCAGAAGCACAGGAAGTTCTGGCCTCTAAAAAGACAAACCCGATCCTCTAAACCCGTCTCTTCTGGGAAGGAGAGATGTTTTGGGAGTCACGCACACAGTATGCGACAGCGATTCCCCTTGCAAGGCAACGTACAGTGTCGTCTTTCCCCAAAAAGCCACACTGGGCCGCTCGCAACCGCGCGCCCCATAGCTGCTCAGGGCTGAAGGGGCGAATCGCTCGCACCACCTTCAATCCACACTTGTCCCTCAGAGAAGGGCCCAACGGGGAACACCAAGCTTGGCCATTGTTGGAGTCGCGGTGGAGCCCGGAGCTGACGTCCCGGAGGAGTGCAACCGAGGCAAAAGGGAATCTGTTGTTGCAGACGCCCCGCACTATCTTGCAGACCGAGGCGGAGGAGAGGGGGAAGCGGAAGCAAGCTTTCCTGAGCCCAGCGAAGCTTCCGTGTACATACGCCGCAGTGGTCCAGAAGAGGGCACTGTCCTCACTAGCGAAGCGATCTCTTCTCTGCCTCGGCAGAGGGTCAAGCAGGAGGCCAAGGTGGTAAGGCTTGGGGGTGCCTCTGTTGAGGACAGAATGGAGGGGGGTCAGCTCCGCAAGGAAAAGACCCGGGACAGGCTGGGCCGGGCAGTGTCTTACTTGAGGGAAGTCGTGGAGGGCACCGACAAGCTCATGCGTTCTCCCTTCGCCGGCCGCCAGCAGGAGAGAAAGACGGATCCACCTGCCACGGTTCTTGCTGGCCCCCGAAAGTGCACAGAGGGAGCTGAAGTCTTCCTCCTCAAATCCTTGCAAAGCTGAACAGCCGTGGGGCTCTCGTAACGGAACCTCCCTCGTCGGGTCGTCGGACACATTTAGTCTTGTGGGGCCGTAAACAAAAGCAGGGAAAAGACCGCCGGCGACACTGATGGCAGCAGCCTTCCTGAGGCTGGGGCGTAACAGCTTCGCAGAAGACCGGCCTTTTGTCACAGCCCCTCGGGCGCAGGAGGAATCCAAGATGTGGACGGATCTCGTGTCCTTCTTTTCGCGCGCGAGCTGCCTCAAGTTCGTGACCGCTGCATCGGTCTCGAGAGCATTGATCTGCTTCTGCCTCTCCCAACGCCAAGAGAGGTCCGTGCTCCACCTCGAGGTAAGAAGGACTTCGTTCACCGCCACACTCTCCAGCCCGGGGGGAGGGTCAAACCTTCCCCCACACGACGTGGTGGGCTGCAGACGACAACACAAGCAAGGCTCAGAGCGGCTACGCCCTTGACACTCCGAGAGGCGTAGAACTCACGAAGGAAGGAGGATGAGACTGGCTCACCTTTGTCCGCACCCGGAGGCACCAGCCAGCAGCCATCAACAGAAAGCAGCGCCCCGACTCGGGGATCAGAACAGACCTCCCGGAGCTAGGAAAGAGGAGGACGGCCGGTTCCGGGGCCGCACTGCAACGTTAAAGAAAGCAATACAGCACTCAAGCAAGCTTTGCCTTGGGACCTTCTGCCGTCTCGGCGGGCTGCTGAAACAGTGGCGGAGCTGGGGAGGACAATGACAAGCGATCGTGCCTTTCCCGTCCAATGGGTGCAGACACATAGACACGCCCCTCGCTGACTGGCCCATCGGTGGAGTTTACCTGGGCACCTGCAGCCTGAAAGAAATCTGCATTGACGTCCTTGTGAGACCAGCAACACCTGACTGTTCGTCGCATACTGAGCCTGGGTAACCTTCTTTGCCGCAGCCGAAACGGAGGGCGAACTGGGGCCTCCTCAGCCGACAACACAAAATAATCGTCCATATATGATGAGGGCCTCCCAGGGGCCACTGCGGCTGGGTGCTTTCTTTGCCAGCAACTGGGTCTCTCGGGACAGGAGCCCCGCGGACTGCAACAGTGAGGCATGTGCTTGGGTGGCGAATTCCACTCCGCTGATCGCCTTGGTTTAACGATCTGGTCCCCTCACGACGGTATTGTCATCGTACAGGCAAGGCTTCAAAACCCCCGGGGGACACAAGGCAAGCTGCAGCTGAGGGGCAAGGGCCCGAAGCGGCCTCCCTTCCTTCTCAACCCACAGCTCGCACTCTCTTGTCTTCCTTTCCCCTTGGGGTTAGACTTCTCACGTGCCGTCTTGCCACAATCGCCCTTGCCTTTGTCTTTCCCTTTTCCAAGATCGCCTTTCTAATGCTTCCTCTTGTCATCGGCGATCTTCTTGCAACAGTCCTCTTGGCAGTCCTGCCTTTCCGCAGACCAGCAAAACAACCTTGGACTTGTCCTTAGCCTTCAATGTTTCACTTTAAGGGAGCCAGCGTCCTCCTCGGTGTTGTGCCTCACGATGCCAACGGTCCAGAGGCCCTCCGACCATACCGAAATGCTGATGCGGACCGTTGAAGACATGCGGGAACGGACCCGTTTCCACCAGCAGCGCATCCTTCGGCGCTCTTCTGCAATTCTCTTGCTCGTTGATCTGCAGTCGCTTGCATGGAAGATGACCAGTGGGTTTTTGATGAATTGAGCGCTGTCAGGTTTTGTCATATCTGACTAAGTTTGATAGTAGCCGCGGTTTTGATGAAATTGAGCGCGTTTTTTGGGGCGGTGCCAGGTTTAGTCCCGGCGAACCTGACAACCCTGTGGTTGGCCCAAACAGTCGGGCAACCCCCTCTCGACTTTGCTGGACCGCCGTGCCAGAGCCCAGAGCCTCCCCCCGCAAGCGAGGTTCCTCGACCCTGGGCCCTGGCTCAGCGTGCCCCGCCGGGAAGGTTTGATTCTGGGAATCTCCCAGTTTGATTCCGGCGACCGCCTGGTTTGATTCCCGCTCCCTCCGTCACCTTGCCATCCTGTCATCGTGCGTCCTCGGCACCCCGGACCCGCCGTCAGCTTGTCACCATCATCCTGTCATCGTGCCGATGTGCTCTA